ACACACAGAAAATTGTAAACTTATGTCTTGGAAATGGTGACATGTTAATTGGTGCATCCTACAAAGAGTATTCATTCGATCACAACTGATTTTGACGGAGTAGGTGTCCTTGGAGTAGTGAATGTCATGTGCAGCTATGCAGACAGTTAGACAAATGTTAGTTCTTCGGCACTCTCTGGGGATGAACTTGCTGTTTGTGCGGAAGGTGTTCTTCAAGTCTTTGTTCCATTACAGGGTGTAACAAGAATCGTTAGAGGGAGTGATGGCCTACCCATATCATCACGAGCAGTGCATGTTGCTTGGCCTGGTAAAGATATTTTGTTCTGCGAAGAGCACTCTGTTAAGCTCTTTGAATCTGGGGCTGTTGTTGTGATTGCAGGATACAGTAAAGGTGACAGTGAAGGTTCATAATCACAATCGAAACTGTGTCAACCAATTGGAATCTGCGTGAACTTGATCGTAACATTTACGTTACACACTATGGTTCTGGCGCGGTCAAACTAATCAACAGACCTTTGACAGGGATTGCAGAGTTCCTTGGAAAGTTATAAGTCCTGGTGAAGGCTTTTAACATTCATTCCAAAAACGCACAGTTAGAGAACCACTTAAGTCGGTTAATGAAGCAATTGTTATGGTGGATGAGGTGCTGGAGTACGTGAAGTATTGCTCAGGGAAGGCAAGAGAGCTACAGTCCTTGGCAAAAGAAACCACCGATGTGCCATAGGGTACTTTATCAAACAAGTGTTTGAAGTCATTGGAACTGATGGCACAATCGCTTCGCAAGGTAGAGCACAATATCAAAGATCTGTCTTCTCAAGGTTTCTAGGTGAACTTGAATTAGAATCACTCCTGGCGTTAAATGTTGAGAACCAATATGAAGTCACTCATTTTAAGAAGGAAACATTTACTCTCTACGAATACGCACAGATTTTTAGTTCATCAGTTGAAGAAGGAGTAAAGAGAGTGACACCATGGTCTGCACATTATTACACGCATCCCAACTCATACTACGCTGTTGAACCTTCCGCTACTGGCCAGTTAGTCCTTGCTGAAATTCCCAAACCGGTCGGAGAAAGATTGTCCAGAAATGATGAAGCAGAGATTAGAGTGTGGGCAAAACAATACGACAAGTGTGTAAGGCAGCGAAGTGTACGACAAGACAACACAATGGACAGAGCTGGGACACTGCCTCTGAATTTGTATGAAACACAGACATTGCTTAATCCATTAGATTTGCAGTTTGTACTTCCTTGTGTGCAAAGCTCAGTGCCGGGGGAAAGTGCAGAACGTCCAGAGGGTAAGTCTGATGAACAGCCTGCGGAGGTTCTCTCCTGCAATGATCAAAGTGACGAGTACAGCAGCAGCGAAAGTGGAGACAGTGAGAAGACAAAGACTGCTCACCAGAAGAATGAGAGATTTTCTTCAGTCCAGGTGAAGGTATGTGTGTATCCAAACAACGTCAGTCAAGCATTTAATTAATTATACACAGTAGTCTGCAAACAATCACTAGGAATGGGATTTTAGATTTGGTAACTGGGATTTGGACCCAATTTAATCTGGGAACTGGGATTTGGTACCCCCCTTCATGACCCTCTCTTTGGCTGTAATTGTACGACAATATTAGTTTAGTTTCAGATGTTATTGCTTAGTACATGTACATCTAAACATGCAGTTGCAGAAAATATCCATACCCATGGCCAGTCTTAAGAAATTCTAAGAACAAGGTAAAGGAGGGGGCAGCTCCCAAAGAAAAAACGTCCATGAGGGGTATGGATCGTTTCTCAAGCAAGACAATGTGTGAGAAATTAATTACACACATATATGCTTCAGGAAATATCTTACTTGTTAATGCCAACTTTCAGAAAATTTGTAATCCAGAGTGTCAGTGATGTGTCCAGTTCATAAATTTGACATGTTGACACTGGACACGTTTTTAAATCTGTACTTGAACATCACTAACTGTTGGCCAACTGAAAATGGAATTAGATATAGACAAGTTAAAAAGCTTCAAAAAATTGCCAAAGTTGAAAATTTTGGGGTGGTCCGTACTCAGGGTCCAGATGGGAAAAGCCATACTGCTGGAGCATGCTCGGTTAGCCAATCAGATTCAAGTATTTAGGATTCCAGACTGCTGAGAAGCTGGAGAAAGAAATAAGAAAAGATATTTTCCAAGTCACCAAATTTCAGGTTATTCAGGATTAACATGCACATCTCTACATGACTACATATCTAAACTAAAACCAACATCGTTAAACCGTTAACCCCTACATTAGTCCATATTCCTCCCACAGATTGAATCCTCCCCCTCCCTAATAACTAAAATAACACTATTAACATGTAAATTTGCTTTTCAGATACACTTTACACATGGCTGGTACATACACGTATTAAGTATAGGCAGACTTTGAAGTTTGCCTTCAAAAATAACCCATGACCAGTTCTTGTGATGAAATGAGGACAACTATTCAATGGCAAGAAGTGCTTAGGATAAAAAGTTTGGATTACAACAAAAAAACATCATTGTATCTTACCTGATGATGCTTACATACAGTTTCCCTTACTGTCTACATCAGTTAATGTACTCCATAAACTGACACTAAATAATTTTGTTTTTTCTAATTCCAATTTTTTTTAAAAAAACATCACTGTTAGTCCTGAAAAAGCAAATAGTTGTTATTAGTCTTTGCAGTCGCAAATTTTCTTTACATGATGTCCAATGTAAGTCATGTTATACTGATAAATTGTACCAATCTTAACTTTTTTCTTACTTTCACTGCAACTTTTTGCAATGACATTTATTTTCCTCACTTGAAGACTGTTCACATAAGATTTAGTTGCCTCTGGGATCTCTATTCACAAGGAATAAAAACAAAATCATATCCTGCAAATGGAGACTAGTTTCAGCAAAAGAAAAGTTGGTCAGATTTTAATGTTTGTAACTTTACATATCATAAGATCACACTTCACATTGTATATTTAACCTGTCACAAATACATAGACAGGGGGTGTGCTGGGAAAGAGATGTTCATTTCCACGGCAACTTTCTGTACTTTTCCTCTTACCTGTTATCGGATGACTTAAGAAATGGACTCTGTCACTCATCACCAAACAACAAGTTATGTAATTATGCGTATATTTTGTTGTCTTCTGCAGCGAGTGATATAAAGAGAAGCAACATTTAAAACCCTCTATACAGTTCATACTCAATAACACTGCTAGCGCTTAATTGCCATGCATGTGTAATACAATGGACCACGCCAATGGTTGGAAATTATGAAGGTTCCTCAGATACAATTTGATATAAACGTAAACATTTAAGCAGTTATTTAGTCATAAGCCATGCAGTTTTACTCACCAGGAAAGTAAACCACCCCCTCAATTCAGTGAAGATTTTTTCCTTCAAGTCAAATTCATCACCTGTACATTACAAAAAATGGAAAAAAAAAAATAGTTTGCAATAGTATACTCTACGTTGTACAGACCACAAAAATATGTAGTAGTTCTAACACTGTAACATCATGTAAGATTTCAATTGACCATTTCATGACAATACAGTACACGATCATCTATTTGTAATTAAATGCAAACTTAACATTTAAACATGAAACAATTTGTTGTTGTAATTCTCTTCTATTTTTCCATTTGCTTAGTTGTGATAAAACCGGCTTAAAAAATGGAAGTATGTAGAAACAACTTACCTTAAAAATTTAAACTTTAATCATCTTGTTTCATTTGCTGCATCTGTCACTTTGATACAATGCATGTAGAATTCAATGACATAACAGACTGAACTACTAGGAGTAAATTAAAGATCGTTGAAATATACCAATGGCTCATGCTGTCTGGTAAATTCTCGCCACACTGATCCACAACTTTCAGAAAATAAACACTCATAGAAAATTACTTAAGCCTTTCAGCATTTAAAAGTAGATCACAGTTAACAATGGAGGTTTTACATTTCGATGGAGGTAATTTGCACAGTCAAGAAAATACAAGTAAATTGTAAATTTTGAAAACTTGGTCAAATTTTGATGATTTCATTTCACAGCGTGAACAATATTGAGGAAAGTGAGGGACAGGAAAATGAAATAACAAACTGTCAATTGAAAGTTACATGTATTTCTGAATTTTAGTCTCGGTACAAAACGTGGACCCCTCAATCTGGACCCCCTACTGGAACCCCTTTTGGACCCCATCTGGATCCCTTTTGGACCCCTTCTGGACCCCCTTTTGGACCCCCTTCTGGACCCCTTCTGGACCCCTTCAGGACCCCCATTTGGACCCCCAGATAAGAACCGGAAGAGTGACCTCACCCGAAAAAGACGACATCTCGGATTTGCGCCCTTTTTTGATCAATTTTGGACGTCGGTCCATCAAGCGGTGTCAGAACCTTCTAGACCACCTATTTTTTCTTCCCGAAAATACGGGCTCTATTTAATCAAAATGTGGCAAAATGGGCAAAATGTGAAGAAATAATGAATTCACGCAGCATAGAAAGGTAGTTTAAAATTAACCTAACTCCGTTAAAAAATCTGTTGTTCTTCAATTAATTTCCATGGCAACCGTTAACCCCGTTTAAGTTCAATGAACTGCCGAAAATAGCGACCACTCACGTTTTTTCGGTAGCTCGGTTAACCGTAATTGATTAATTAGAAATAATCTGCTTAACTCTCACAGTGCGGCCACAGCCATTATATTATTCCAGACACAACGCTGCGTGAATTTATTTATTTCTTCACATCTTGCTCACTGATTAAATAGAATTCATCGCGTTATGTTCTAAGTTCAATTATTTAAATCAGAAGCCCGTATTTTCTAGAAGAAAAAAAAGGAGGTCCAGATGGGGGTCCAGAAGAGGATCCAGTAGGGGGCCCAGAAGGGGTCAAGAAGGGGTCCAGATGGGGTCCAGATGGGGTCCAGATAGGGTCCAAAAGGGGGTCCAACAGGGGGTCCAGATTGAGAGGTCCACGTTTTGCACCGACCCTGAATTTTATGGTATGGATTACCCAGCATTTCAGAGCCATTACTGCTAGCTGCCACTTGCTCAAGATTGAAAACAGAACTGCACATAGGCACTGGCATCTGCTAGACTCAGTGGTGGCTGCCATGGATCTGCTACAACCTCACATAAGGGAGCTGGCATCTGCCACTTCCTTGCTGTAGACTAATTAATTAATTGGAATTACTTAATTAAACAAACATTAGAGTTTGTACTGGTGCATTAGGTTCTTAGTTGCATAGTGCCCTAGCAGCTGGCGGCCCAAACCATCCCAATTGAGCACTCTACACTAAACATGGGGGTCACGGAGCTCGTTTTTAGTGTGGAGTCCGTAGCACGGAGGGCTGTTGGTATTAGACTATTGGGAAAGGTCCTTCACGTAAACGAAATGCTAGTTCCTGATCGAAAACATGGACTTCAGATGTCAATATTTTCGTCAGCTGGGCACAATATGACTACATACTAAAAGACCGTAACAGAAGTTTATTAAACTTTATGTTCTCAACTCCGTTAACTTTTTGTAGGGGTAGCTGAGGGAGCAGGGTAGGTGAGGCAAGTGGCCCTTTGAAAATACCGAGAAATTGCCTCTTTCTCACTCCCCAGATATTTCTTTGTTTATCTATTGTGTTTTGGACCTTTGCCTATTCTAGGGGGTAGGAGAAAGTAATTTTTCGATTGGAACATCCGAAACAAACACAGCTTCCTCTGTCGTGGTTTTCTTCTAGAGGGCAAAATTCTGTACGCAGAACCAAGACACATGCACCTTACATTAAAGAGTTCGAAATGGTAAGGAATAAGCGTCAAGAAGACTCGACCGATGACTTAGAAGCAATGATATCGTCCTTTGGGTTGCAAGAAGGTCTGAATCAAAGATCTTGCTGAATACACATGGAATACATGTAAAACAAAACCGTGCTACGGAACATGCGGACAAGTTTAAAATAGCTGTAGACTTCAGTTCTAAGGGCCTACGGTATGAAATATCGCTAGTTCAAACGAATGTATCGTTCACTAAGTTAGCATATTCAAGTCACTATTTTTCATGAACACCATCTTTATGTCGTTCACCTGTTTATAACTAAGTAGAGTTTTCTGACTTCACACTTTCCGTCCGGAACCACTCGTTTTTTATAAGGGATTAAAGCTAAAATTAAGGGTGTTTTTAACACGTTGTGTTGTTGCGATGCTAATCTGTTATATATAAAAAAATGACCGCAGCTTGTTTACCGATGACTAGACAGTTGTTTGATTGCATTATTGTAGTATCACTTGAAAAAAAATGGCAGCTTAATTCTTCAAAGTATAGTGGTTGGAAAAGTGTTGGAAACTGTTGCCAGACCTTTTAGCAGGAGTAAGTAGTATAGTAAAAGATTCAATATCCACACGGCCAAAAGACTTCAGCTATCGATTGCCTTAACTTTCGGTTTCGCCACAATTGGATAAGAGGATTTACAGCGGAGTTAAGAAGGGTGATGGTAATTGTCCAAGGAAACACAGCGCTTCCATAGATACCAGCTGGTCTCACTATACTTAGAGCAGCAGTAGGGATAAATAACACCATGAATGTGAGCAAAGTGAATCTTGTGTCAGCAAGCACCTTCCTCTCTCTTATAGTTAGTCGCTGGGTATAAAGTGAATAGGTGCCGCTTCCCAGCACAGAGCGATTGTATCGAACGACGATCACAGCTGTCTTAATCTTAAGCACCACAAGAGATGTCAAAAGAACCGCTGCCATGAACGCTCTGACGACTGGTACAGCACTTGTTGGAATGATCCACTGGACGAAGATGATGAAGAAACACCAATTTAGCCAGCATGTGCCGGCAAGCCAAAGGGCCACTGGAAAAAGTGAAAATATATATATATACCGTTTCAGTGGCATTCTCAGGATATATGCATTTTTTATCAGAGGAAACATGTTACTCGTCTCAAAAAGTAGCGATACATTAAGAATACATGATATGTATTCCGATAAACATGCGAGGTATGTCTCCATATAGCTGAGATGCCCACTGAAGGCCACGAGTTTATAAATTTATCATTCGTTACAGTTATTGCTACTTCAGGTTGGAACATAATTCACTGGCTCTCATTTATACCTCCAATTGGAGAGAGTAACGGTGTCTTGTCTAAGAACACCCAAAAGGTCCAAGAGGATCTCTCCTCCCAACATGACTCACCTCACCAAAATGGGAAGAAAAGCTTCATGCAAACATTACCTTTCTTAGCGTAGTTTGTTCGATATCCCACAGGCTTGCATAACGCAACGCATCGATCTCCAGCAATCAGAACTATATGCAAGAGTGAACAACCAACGCAGAACAAGATGGCAGATTCAGCTACGTTTGTCAAGGACCGTAGCGAGTCACAGGCCACTTGATCGTGGTGTAGAAACATGCGCAGGGCAATGTACAAGGGCTTTGCTACTATGGCAGCTACACAGTCCACCAGTGTGAGGCTACCAATGAGAATGTCATATGGTGTCACGATCAACTGTTTCTTGATCATCGTCACAGTGATGGCCAGGTTGCTAAGTAAAGCGAACGCTGCAGTTGTGCCATTCACCACAGATAAAACGACGTCATTGATATGGTTCTTGGAGCTATTGTCCCACAATATAATTGAAGATGACAAACATTCATTTTCGCCGCCATTGCCGGCCATTTAACCAAACTCCTGAAAAAATATATATATATTGTTAGTTCTATGGAATCCTCGCTTCAGTATTGTTTTTCAAATGACTAAGCATTTCTCTTCCCACCAACAACCGTACTAAACATATACCCTATGAAATATTTAGAAATAAAAGTAACTCTTAATAGGCATGAAGACGTTTTACAGAGCTGGAATGTGGGTTTGCAAAACGAAAACTTAAGGGCTATATATATAAAAACCAGATAGATCGCATTACAATTAATAGCTACTAACTAGACACAAGGGTGTCTAGGGGTGCAGATATTGGAAGTGCTGATGGTCGGCAAACTCCGTTTGAAACTAAGGAGGGTAGTAAAAGAGTCCGCGAGGAGAACGGTAGGCCTTGATAATCGTAAAGATCTATTAACCCAAAGAGAGTTCGGCTTTTAAAAGACTACAAAACAGGATTGAGGTTCTAGCGGAAATGGATGTTCAGGGGGTAGAAATCGGGGTTAGAAGATATATGGCAAAATGTTAAGAGCATATATTTATAAACAGGACAGTTAGTGTTAGGTTATTCAATTCAAGAAAGGAAAGAGGTAAAGAAACGGATGTTAAATAATAACCACCACACTCTAGCTGAAGATCTGTTAAGAAAAGCGCCCGTCAAGACAAGAGAAACTACAACGAGAATAAAGCAAAAGAAGCAGAAAAGGGAGCGAAGGAAAATGATAGCAGAAAGCTGTATAACATTACAAGAAGTCTCTGGTAAATCCCGAATCTACAACGATTAAGGACCTAAATGGAAATTCCCTAACAACGATAGAAGAACAACTGAGACGGTGGGCGGAACACTTTAGTGAAACGCCCAACAGAGATGACCCACGCAATCCCCCTCGTCTGGAGATCAACGTACCTGAATTAGACATAAATTCAGACGCAATAACTAGAACTGCAACTTATACAACCAGCAATTGGACAACTGAGACCAGCAAAGCCCCTGGCTGTGATGACATACCGGCAGAGCTACTAAATGCAGATACAGAAACAACTTCCGGTGTGCTCTTTGTCTTGTTTGAGCGCATATGGCAAGAAGAACAGATTCCGGATGACTGGCGTAGAGGACTTATCGTGAAAATCCCAAAGACGGGCGACACCACCGAATGTACCAATTGGGAGGGGAATAACTCCCTTATCTATGGCGTCTAAAGTGTTCACCAGAATCATCCTGACAAGAATTCACCAAACAGTGGACAATCGCCTAATAAAGGAGACCCCTGCCTGCTATCCAGCTCTGGAGCACATCTAAGCGTGGAAACAACTAGGTTAAGCAACAACCCACGTAAGTTCGGGTTAACGATCAACAGCAGAAAGATCAAAATGGATGAACAATGGTTGCAAGCGAAACTGCCAAGTAAAAATAGATGGATAGGAGATAGAGAAATTAGACCAGCTGTCCCACCTTGGCAGTGTGATTGATGTGCAGGGAGGTGCAGACGCGGATGTGAAAGCTCGAATTGGCAAAGCTAGGCACTGAGCATTCACATCATTGAAGCCAATATGGAGTTCAAAAAAGATCTCTCTTAAGAACGTTCGCGGAAAAATTTTCCAGCATTGATTTTTTTCTGAGACTTTTACCACTGTAAGATGATGAGTTAGTTATGTCAGAAATGTAAAAAAATGGGGGGTCACCGACTTCGTTTTGGAGAGAACTTGCCCGAAAGAACATCCTCAATTGGAAAAAATCGGGCTTCGTTAGCGAATAAGGCCACAGTGTCTGTAAACCCCAAAATAGTGCAATTAGACCTTTGAAGTGAAATGTTTTTTCTCTGCCAGATATTTTTTAAGTGGACCCATTAATTAAGTGAATTTAGTCAACTGGTGAGGTTCCCCAAAGAACAAGTTCGCATTTAGCGACCATAGTTTCACGCGCCTCGCAGCCGCAAGATGGCGGGATTCCATGTCCCGCAGACAGAAATCTTGAAATTTTTTAACTTCCCACATTGATTTTTTGTTCATTTTTGGACAATGTGGAGATGATTGTAAATAAAATCTGTTGCTGGAAAGAAAAGTAGAGGACACCGAACGTCCAAAATCGTTAAATCTAAGCAAAGCTATAGCAATGGCCATCTGTCCTATCATTGTTCATTTTATTACATAGCGCGCGCTCTCATGCATGACGAGCGTGCGTGTGAATTTGCGTGCGCAGTAAGGATGCGCAGAAACAACTACACGAACGTCCTTAAGACCAGATTAAAGCTTTACAACTCAAATGTAAAGACGGTGCTCCTTTACCGCTCGGAAAGCTGGAAAACAACTCAGGAAATTGTTAGAAAGCTGAGGGTTTTTACCCATAAATGCCTTCTCATTATACTGGGTATAAGATGGCCACAGCAAATAACAAACGTTGAAGTGCGCAACATTTGTAAGCAAGAGGACATCATGGTGAGCTTAACCTGGTGGAAATGGACCTGTGTTAATTTAATAAGAAAAGACCCCACCGACGTTGCTAGAGAAGGTTTGTTTTGGACACCAGAGGAGAAAAGACAACGGGAGAGGCCTAAAACAATCAAGAGGAGGTCATCAGAGAAAAACTTAAATCCATACACCTGACCTGGGGCGAAATGCGGAAGGTGGCACAAGATCATTTACGCTGGAGAGAGACTGTGAAGACCTTTTTTTTTTCTGTCGTTGTTGTTGTTTTTTTGTGTGTGTGTGAGGGCCTTATGCCTCCCATGGTGCAATGAGGGCCGATGATGATGTGAAATTTCAAAATTGCCATGGCAACGTTTGGGGCGATATTTCTCGATACAATAAACAAGTCAAAATATTGTATATATTCTGAAAGTAGATTTTCATTGAAACAGTCGCTCTTTCCGAGAATGAAACAAGATGGATGTTTGCTGTTCGTGTAAGGCAGCGTTCCTTTGGGGTATATTGATCACGATCAGTGATCCAAATCAATCGGATCATGGTACATCAAACGAGGAGCCGAAAAATCGGTGATCAGGGTGGATTCAACGGTTTCTTTAATGTACCATGATCTGAGTGATACTGGATCCAGATCCTGGATCCTGGATCCTGATCCAGATAACCCCTAAGGAAAAGTCACTAGTTGGTAGACAGGGCTCCTTTGATCGCAAAGACCGAAGGCAGTCAACAGAGACAGCAAGTACTTCAAATATAACACTCAAGTTTAAGATGCGACGAGTGATGCGGAACTGATTCTTGCGCGTGTTGCGATGTTTACCACTCCACAAAATGTCCATACAATGCATCGTTCTTCCCTTGGTCTTGGCTGGAAAGGGCGAACTGAAAGATGTAGCTGGGGACCCTCAAGAGATGTCCAGGCACAAACTGAACGTCAGACGGGAAATGCCCAAAAGCCAAACAGGTCATAAACAAAACTTTCTCCCAATTCATCACGAAAAGAACGGGTTCACGTCGTATCAGAGAGCGTCTCACTCGTGTTAGTACCTTTTACCTGTACGTATGCAAACATTTTGACCAGCTTCTGATTGTTCCAGGCATGTGGATTAAATATAGCAGCATTGTTCCAGGTGTGTTTAATAAACTTTGCTTCCAGCTGCCGCAAAATGTAACGTGAACCGATAAAATGAGGCACGTGATTAGAACTAGTACAGGCGCAAATGGAGTTGGCCCACCAAATCTCTTATCCGAGCACGATGTAGCCTACGTGTAGCCGTACCCATCCCCCTTTATCCTCGGGGGTGGATACGGCTACACGCAGGCTAAGCACGGTTACCTATCCCTTTATTGCATTTTTCGAACATTCAAAAACGTTTCAAAAAAATCATTCGACAACTTTTATTCCTAATGAATGCAAAAATGTTGTTCTGTTTTTCAGCAAAAGGGCCCGGCGGAGCTGCACCCAGAGAATGGTACTTTAATTTAGATCGACCACTTTAAATGTATATTTGTCTACCAATATTATGACCTGTAAATTTAAATGTCTCAAAGTGTTACTACATTGAACAAACAACTAAAGTAGAAAAAGTAGATTTTTCAACAAACGTATCCCAATATGATTGAAACGCAAACGCAATCTCTTTCTCGGCTAAATTCTAGAAATCCGGCCTTTTCCTGTTATTTTCTAGTTGAGGATGAGCATATTGCGAATCAGTACAAATTTTCCACACAGCGTAGAAGTCGTAGAAGAGCTGATGGCGTCACGCAGTTATTAGTTGTTATAATTTATCGTATTTCCACTTGAGTTAATTTGTCAATGATCTAATTGCCATAAACGATAGAGAATTGGTTAAATTTATCTCTAAAACGGCCATTGGTAATCAGCGAAAGTAGTGACACATCTTCTGGAAATGAACAAGTCATGTGAAACATGTACAATCATTACCTAAGCAGCCTGCAGTCACGCTTTTTATCAGGGATGTTGTGGGTGTTTCAAGGCAAATGAAAAAATATATATCTATACGAACTTACACAAAAAGGAAACATTTTTCATTATTTTTTCCACATACGACGTTTCTGAAGGTTTCTTTGAGCAGGTTGTCGGAAACGAATGACTATACCCGCGTCTTGCAATAATTGTTTACATTCCAACGGCGGATTTTGGGGAAAACTGATGAAAAACACAGGCCAAGCCGGGCTTCTTAAAACCAGAGATATTTTTTGATTTTCAAACAGGTGGATGTATAGTTAGCCCGTAGACAGTGTTTTTAAGGCCTTTTATGGACGGTGCCGACTAAATACGAAGGTTTTTGGGCCAGGTTAAGACCTTGGGGAAAAAGTAGATCTTTGCAAGGGCTATCGGAATCCACAAAGAAAAAAGAGGGCAGCCACGCTTTTTTTCGAGATAATTAGCCTTAAATCTCAACAAAAATGCTGACATCAGCATTTTTCTGAAAATAGAAGGAGAGGATATTTCTTCACAGCTTTCTTTAGAATTCGCCTTTACATACAGAAAAGCAAACACAGTTATAAAGATCTGAAAACTACATGGTAAGTGGTAACACAAAAACCATTTTTGGTATGTTTTTAATAACAAAATC